GTTTGTATCTCGGCTCTGCGTTGTTTATCTCCTAATGATGAATGCATGCGAGGGCCAGGTCAGGAATGGTTTCCACTCCAGTGCGTTAATTGTGTGGTTGGCACTGGGCTCAATTAAAGTATAATAATCTGGTAATCTCTCTCCTTTTTCCACGCAGGCTGCTGCACACTGAATAGAGCCAGTAGCTTTTGAAAAGTAGGTGAACCCCTGCCTCTTTGTCTGAGCGGTTTGTGTCTAGTCAAATAAAGTGACAGGCAAAAGAGACAACTCCCCAAAACGTTGCTCCCATGACTTGCATCGTTACTTCTGTTTGTGTTTCTACGAGATAACACCTGCTTTTTATTTTAGGCTACGGATTGTATTTCTAGCAAGCTTCTCACCACGGTGGAAAGACAAGCTGATGTGAGAAAGGAGATATGTCCATTACGGGAAGATGTCGCGTGCCCCATCTCCTGGTTCTTCTCACCTTTGTGTTCAGCGGGGAGAGAACTGAGGCACAAAGAGCAGGTATGTGCCGTTCGGCTTACTGCCTCATGCTAAGAAGCTGCTCGGTCTTTTACGTGGCTGAGAAGCTATTATTGCTAGGAAAAAAACAATCTAAATCCAAAGCAAGACATTTACTGCTGAAAAGACATAAAATAGACCTTAGGGTTGGAGATAGCTCAGGGATCAAGGTTTTGATTTACCTAGGATCTCTGGTTCTGCCGTGGGCTTGGAGAGGTTAGCTCAGCTACCCAGAGCAAGGGGAGCAGTATGCAGTCTGCTCTGGATATGCTTCATCTACCCTGCTCCGGCATGGAGATCACTTCTTCCATTGCCTTCAGTGGGTTTCAGATTAGATCTGGTAAATCTGTCCGGCTGGGACTTCCCTAGTGAGCCAAACTGGGCCAGGGCACTGTTCATACCCTTGCTTGGTTCATGCTGTCCAGTTGCTAGCATGGTCCCTGGCATGGCTTTTGGCCTGTGATGATGAGCACTCTCTCCCAACCGCCACTGAACGCATTAGAGGATGATGCAGCTGAGGGACTGTTCCTGTAGGAAGCCTTGACAAGCACATGTTGTTTTTTGGGGAGAAGTAGGAAGGGCTGAGTTATCTGGCTATGAATGATGCTATACCTCAGGGACAGAAAACAGTTGTAGACCCATGCAGTTTATTGGAATGAAAGCCCAAAGGTACTTTGAGACGGAGGCTTTCTCTTTTTCTAGGAAAGATGCTGTTCTGTAGCCTTGGGTAATTTATAAGAAAGAAAAGGATTTTTTAGACCTTCTCTAAGTCAAGGGAATATCTACTTTACAGTTTTGTTATGTGGTCTGTATACGGCTTTTCGGGTGACTTTTAACAGGAATAAGTACTTAGTAACAAAAGAAAGTGAAATTTTTTTTTTTTTGTCTGTGGATCAGTCACAGGAAGGATATGGTGGTACCATTTATATGTTCATTCTGTGATTACTTTAAATTATTTTGGGCTTATGGCTTGTTTGTGAACTATTTTTAATGGCAATATTGCAAAACGGTTGACTCAGTGTCTGAGTGGATGAATACAGCTCCTGGAATTATGCTTCCAGAGAGTATTCCTGTAATTACAAAGCTGAAAGTTCACTTTCTATGAATCGTCTCCCATATTCCCTTAATGTGATCTGTTTCTGCCAGTAAACAACATTATTATAGCATTCTTGGAAAACGATCAATTTTGTCCAGCAGTGGACATTACTGTGTTAAAAACACAGATTAATATTTACTAAAAGCTTTTCTGCAGCATTTCATCTCACTACCATCAGGTCTATAAGCAAAGAATCACTGACTCTAAGGGAATGATCCTGAAAGACCATCTTTTTCTTCCTTGCACACGGACTGAAGAGACATCACTTTTTAAACCTTAAACCTCCCTTGTTTTAAGGCTCATTGCCCTTGAAAACCAACAGGATTCATTCCGTCTGTTCTGTTTGGTTTTTAATTGCAGTCATCTCACCTGCTGAGAGTCAGTAAAATAATCAACAGAAAGGTCTATACCTTGTGAGTTTTATACTTAAACCATTACATTCTCTCATTAGTCTCACTGAATTAATATCCTTTTAGACAGATTACTATAATAATGAACTGGGGGTGCAGAGTGGAGATTTCTTGCTTACCCTTTACTGTTATATATTATATCCTTTATATTCTGCAAAAATCAAGCAGAACTACACTTGGGCAGTCTAGCCGGTATACACAGATGTAATGTAACTTACATCCAATAATAGAAAATAATATATTAATCTCCACAGTCTGGTTACCTTTGAGAGAGTTACTGTGTGTTTCCAGCCAGCCCTATCTTGCTCTGTGGTTAGAGACAAGTGTTCCCTCACTCACAAAATGCCATCACAGAACATGATCCAATGTGGACAGGTTGTTCCCAACGTGATCCCAATCCCACGTCCACAGGTTGTTCCTGTAGACACTGAAGGAACAGCAGCGCCTGGGTCAGGTCTCTGGGATGTACCCTGCTATGGAAATTAACACAGCAACAGGTGATGCTCATTTTTCATCATCACTCGCAACACACCTGGTGTATCTTCAACCATTCTCACAACCATCATTGCCATCAGGCAATACCAAGAGCATTGCTCTACAGAGTTATAGTGCCTACCTCTAATGCTTTTACTCTTATCTGAAGGCAAGTCCTCTTCATGTGGCTAAGCCACCCACACTCTCCTTTCCAGTGCAATGGGCTGTTCTGGGATTCCTGTCCTCTTCAGGGCAGGTGCACAGCCCCAGTCTAATCAAAATCACTAGACCTAATTTATGAACCATAAGTCAAATTTGTGTGTGAGAGAAGACTTTTGACCTTCCTGTAGGCTCAAATGCTGGAACTCAGTGAAGAAATATGGCAACAGCATCATTCCCCCCACCCTTGGGCAGCATGATTCATATTTCTGTTTACTGAGCTGGCTGACAAGCAAGTGCTTGACTGGTTGAACTGTGTATGATACCTCCATACTCTTTGGTCTGTTCCAGGGGAAAACATCCTCGTCCTCAACTAACATACACACTGGGTGTATTTATATCAGTGCTTTAACTCTGCCCAGGATTGTAGCAAGGACACACTACTTCCTAAGGGATGGGGAGCTTGGAGCTCCCCAGGTCTTCCTGGTCTGGCAGGACAGGGTCTCACCAACCTGTCGCCTGTCCTACGACCCCCAGCCATGGAGCAGAGAAGGCTGGGGAATAGCAACCAGGCTCAACAGACAATCTGAATTACCAGACAAGCTCACAGTGATGAAATAGGTCCAAGTCAAGCCAGGAACATGAGTCAGCAAGTCAAAGTCTGGTTCAGGTCTAAAGACAGCAGCCAGGGTCAGCCATTCTCCAGGAAAGTCCACAGAGCTGAGGCAGGTCTGAGGTCTTAGTCACTGATGGAAATTTAGTTGTTGGAACCTGGATGGAACTACTCTGATGTGAAAACATATAAACTGTACAGTGGGAATGTCACTTTTTAATATATGCAGAGCTAAACTGTCCTCAGTGGACGTAGCCTGGAGTTATGTATTCTCACAAACACTCTCAGATTTTCTGACCAAGGGAGGTAGCTTGGTCAGCCCAAGCCAGAGTCCAGAGGAGGTTATTGACATGGTCATAGTGGGAACAGCTGTAATCAGGGCCCCGTGGTGAAACAGGAGGCCACAGAACAGATCTGCTCTCAGTATGTGTGGGTAGGTGTGGGCTACCAGCTCAGATGCTGGTAAAGCAGCAGGGCTTAAAGGCAATTGCCAACAGTTTAGGGGATAGATAGAACATCTCCAGTTCAGTGGGACATAGAAGACCCCTGTTACTCTGAGAGACATAAACTGGTATGGACCAGCTCTCTGTCTTGTATCATATGTGCCTTGTTCTCCACATGATTGGTCAAATTAGCTTTTAACCATTGGTTCAAACAAGCCAAAGGTAAAAAGCTCAAAAGCACTTTGTGCGATGATGTGAGACAAGAACTACTGGAGAAACAATGGTTGGTGGTTGTGACCATAGATAAATTGACTTCGTAGAGCAGCTTTCAATCTTGAAATTCATAATTTGTTAGGGACTGTGGTCTATAATAGTGAATTAAATAAACATATGTATAGATATACATTTTATCCAGTTGGGGCATTATGTTGATAGATCTTTGGCATCTGTGGGACATTTGTGAATATACTGCCTCTTGGCTTGTGTATATTCAGAAAGATCTAGAAAACATCTCCTGGGAGATTTACTTTCTTATCAAGCACCTGGCAAATATATGACCAAGTCTGGCTTCACAGAGCAAACAAGGTGCCATTAAAATACATTTGCCTTTTGGATTACACAGGCCTCAGATTGCAAATATCATGGCTGGAGCCAAAAGGATGATTGTGGGTATAAGTGAACTTTTCCATTACAAAGAACCTGCCCTTTGTCATCAGGGAAGCCATCCCAGTGTCCAGTGAGTCATCCTTCAGTCAATAGTCGATGGCAGAGAGCCTCAAAATCAAAATAATCTTGTTATAAACTTGCTTCACCCAGATATCATGCCGACAAAAGAACTAAGCGTAAATAAATCATAATGTTAATGCAAGAGGGAACATGAAAGCTTCAGTAGTCATGGTCAGGATTGGCATAGGAAAGGTCAAGGCAGGTCTCTTGATCTGCCAAGGTCATTTTGCAGCATTGCCCAAGCAAAGGCACTGCAGTGGAGTTTGAGAAAAATAGCTTCATACACATGCAGATGGTGTAGGTGAAAGATTGAGCAGAGGCAGTTAGTAGAGCAGGAAAAAAAAGGGTTTGCATTTCAAAGTGAAGTGTGTTCTGATCTACTGTAGATGTCCTGAAACAGATGAGGTGAATCACAAGGAAGAAAGGCTGAGAATCTGCACTTTCTCTGCAGGATAGGGAAAGGGTTTGCTGCCTCCTCCAAATTGCTCACTAGAGAGCTATGCCTAGGGAATATTCAGGATATCCGATACTCGTCTTTCAGCTTCCCTTAGTGATATTTTCTGCCACTTTTGCAGGTTGCAAGAATGTTCACTATGACCTCGTCTTCATCTTGGATGCCTCCTCCAGCGTCGGAAAAGAAGATTTTGAGAAAGTTCGTCAGTGGGTGTCTAATTTGGTAGAAACCTTTGAGATTGGCCCAGACAAAACCCGTGTAGGTGTGGTGAGATACAGTGATCGTCCAACCACAGAGTTTGACCTGGGAAAGTACAAAACCCGTGAGGAAATCAAAGAGGCTGCACGAAAAATTAAGTATTATGGGGGTAATACGAACACTGGAGACGCTCTCAGATACATCAACACCTACAGTTTTTCCAAAGAAGCTGGTGGCAGACTTAGTGATCGAACTGTTAAAAAAGTGGCTATCCTTCTGACTGATGGAAGGAGTCAGGATTATGTCTTGGATCCAGCCACTGCAGCCCATCAGGCTGGGATTAGAATCTTTGCTGTGGGTGTTGGTGAAGCCTTGAAAGAGGAACTTGATGAGATTGCTTCAGAACCCAAGTCTGCTCACGTGTTCCATGTTTCTGATTACAATGCCATTGATAAAATTAGAGGGAAGCTAAGAAGACGTCTCTGTGAAAGTAAGTAGAGCTCCCTGTTCTACACAATTAGAATTATAATAGGTTCATTTAGCATATAAGTATGAAAATCTGTGACTGTTTTCTTTCATGCTTATAATTCTATGCTGATAATTCTTTATTTTAGTGTCTTCCACTCTGTTAGAAGTCATTTTACTACCTGGAGCATGATGAAGTGATCATTTCTGGGTTCTTCTGTTCAATTCAGCATTAACTACAGGTCAGCTTCCAGTGGTCAACTAGAGACCAAAAAGTGAACTCTCTTTTGGTACTGATAAAGTTCAGTAATTTTATACTATTTTGGACTACTGAATATGAAGGGTAACATCTTATTTAAACCGAGAATTCAGTTTATTTCCCCTTATTGTGTGTCATTAGAGTGCGTAAAGAGTGCTGGGGTGCTGCAAAAGGATTCTTGTGCTTTTCTGCCTTTCAGCATCCCAACTCTACTGACCATTGGTGTTCACTAGTGCTCTGGCTATCAACCACATAAATTTTGGTGATGTTTTGAATGACTTTTAATTAAATTAAAATTAAATTCACACTGAATAAATGAACTTTGAATTTCTAGCGCCCTGGTGAAGATGATTGTAATGGCATTATGACAGGCATCTCCCAGCTCTTTAATGGGAACAGCAATCACATATCCCCTTTTCCTTCCACAACTGATAAATCCCTCTGTTGTTCTTGGTGGTTACATAAAAGTTACCTGTTTTTTCTGCTTTTTGCAGTGTGTTTTGTGGTTACTGTGAGTTCTTTGGGTCAAAATCATAAGACACTGCTCTGGTTCCTAGGTCTGAACTTGAAAGACAGCAGATGATTCCCTGTGTGATGCTATAACATGTTGCAGTGTTACAATGACCAGGTGTGCGGGCCAGGAACTTGTGTTACTGTCAGGTAGAACAGAACAGAACAGATTAGAAGAGAATGTTTCAGATGGAAGGGACCTACAATGATCATCTAGTCCACTAGGTGCCTGACCACTTCAGGGCTGACCAAAAGTTAAAGCATGCTGTTAAGGGCATTGTCCAGATGCCTCTTAAACACTGAGATGGGGCATTGGCCACCTCTCTAGGAAGCCTGTTCCACTGTTTGACCACCCTCTCAGTAAAGAAATGCTTACTAATATCCAGTCTAAACTTCCCCTGGCACAGCTTTGAACCGTTCCCACGCGTCCTATCACTGGATTCCAGGGAGAAGATATCAGGTGACAATAAGTTGTGTGAAAAAAACCAGGCCTTGTAGGTGGTGTTGTGAGGCTCTTTTATTGCTCTCTGTTACCTTCATTTGCAAGAAAAATGTGCTAACATAATGTTCTGGGCTTATGTGTGTTTCTTAAAGAATGACTAGCACAAGCAGGCATAAAGCAGTTGATATTGCCCCACGATATCCATGTGTGACTGCTTTTTTTGCAGCCTGAATAAAAGGGGGTATGAATAATGTAATCCCAACAGAAGTGGAAGTCATGGTGGGTATTGACTGTAAACTATACAGACTGAAGGAGCTGGGTCTTTTTGTCCAAGAATCTTCTGTAATTGTACACAGGACTGGGGTCGAATAAAGGCTAAACCTTTCTGGCGGGCACACTCAAACAACTCAACTTCCTACTGCAGCTGCTGAACTCCCCAAATGTGTCTTTCCTTTGAAATTCTGTTATGTTCCTTTTCTAAAGCAAGTGTTTTCAGTACTTTGTACCTGGGTCTGTGTCTGTCACCTTCTCAAAAAATCATTTACCCACCTGCCAGAGTATAATGCGATTTGTCTGCGGCTTTCTGAGCCCATATGAAGTCCATGCGTGTGTGCATACCACTCCTCGTTAGATCACAAAGGACTACTGGGAGCATCCTTCACCCGGAGTGACAGCAGTCACTCTCCTAGGTGTTTGCTTCCACCTGCACTAGTGCGTTTGGTGAGGAGAAATGAAGCCTCTAAAAGAGTAAGTGAAAGGGAAGGGTTTAGTTTTATTAGATACAGGGAACCTTTAAGGGGAAAACAGGCTGCTAAATGGATTAGTGTCCATGTTAGAACAAAGGGAGTCAGAGTACCATCAATGAACATTAGTAGGGAAGGGAGCAGAGAGGAGGAAATTAGCTGAACAAACAACAAGTAGATAGTGTGCACATATTGAAGATCACTCAGGCAGAATAATGAGATGTAAGGAAGTTAACCGTGACAAGGGGAATTGAGTATCCAGGTACATGGGACACAGTGATGCAGGTGGATTTGAAGAAGTGGGTGCAGGGTAGAAAGAAAAGATATCAACAAAGGCACCAAACACAGGTGCAATGGACTGAGTTTCCACAGAAAGAGCAGTGGAAAGGTAGACCTGCCATAGGTGTTCCTGGGTGTTCTTTAGATCCAAGGACTCTGCTGAGATGCTGTAACATCCCTCGATCCTTCATTCCAGTCTTGATGGGGGACAACTTCTTCTCAGTGTTTGGCCTCAGTCCCTCTCACTGCAGCTGAAGCCTGTTTTGTCCTGTTTTCACTCGATATGAAGAAGAGTTTATTCTCTTCCTCTCAGCATCAGTCTTTTCTGCTTGGAAGGATGTTATGTACCTCCCCTAAGCCTTAGATTTAAAGCTCTTTGGCAGTCTTGTCATACTTATTAAAGTTATTGGTTTGCGTGCAAAATGTTTTTAATGGGCATGATGTTTAGATCAGTCCTAAACAAACAAGAAATTCTTGCTGTCACTGAAGCTGACTGTTAAAAACAGGATGAGACACTGAGAGCACCATCAGCAGAAGTATCAATGCAGAGATCAGGTAACTCTTTTGTTATCTAAATATGTGATGACGGAACTGTTTTGGGAGGTGGGAAAGGGCTGGCAGAGAACAGGACCAAGTATTTTCTAGTGCATGTGCCACTTTTAAATTTCATGTCAACACAGTAGGAACAGAAAAGGAGTTCACTGTAAGGGCTATGCCTTACACATATTTAGAGGTAAAACTTTTAATAGCTGTTGTAGTTTATGTAATTTTAATATCACAGCACTGTATAAAACAGGAACATACAAATCACTGAGTGGGTGGAGGACGTGACGAGGGCGCATGCCAAACTGCTGTTTAGTTCATGCATATTCTAAGACAAAAGCATATATATTGCCACAGCCAAGGTCGTGTTTTAATAGACATAATCCTTTGTGAGCTCCTGGGAGACAGAGAAATGAAACAGCGGAAATGGTAGAAAGTTTTTTTGTCGTACTCACCAATAATGAGTCTTCCAGTGCTTGTACTGCTGTACTACCGAAATGTGAAGATGCAGTGTTGCCAATACTGAATTTCATGCCAGCAGCTGTTCAGAATCATTTGTCTCTGGTCTCACTAGTCTGTCCTAGACTCAGTCATACCATCTTGCTATATTTGACTGAATTTATTGCTAAGAACCTGTCAATAAGTGCATTAACAGCGTTTTAGCTCTCATTTGATCTTGTGGAAGTAAGCATAGCAGAATCGAAAAATAACATGTCTGCTCAGTGGGACATTGTGGCAGTGGGAGATATTTTTGCCAAACATCTCCATTACATTCTGGACTATAGTTAGCAGGCAAAAATGGATGATGCTTTCACAGGAAAGCAGGAGACACGCATTCTGCTAAAAATTCCAGAGATGCTACATGCTTCCTAAATAGGGTTTCTGCTTATATATTGTAGAGGTAACAACAGGCAGATATGGAATATTTAAAAATATACTAACATCTGCTGCTGGTAGGTAAATAGTAGGTTTATGCTTGTCAAAGAGAGACAATTTCTTCTGTTTCAACCCAGATTTAATTTAAAGCTGGATTTGATAAATTAGTGCATGTACAAAATTGGCAACTTGGCTTGGATCTAGTAGCACTGGGGTTTAATGCTAGCATCTGACATTTAAGCCTCAATGGTGGGAGACATTGCAATGGTGACCTAAAACACCCATACCTACCCAGAGGTAATTGTTTCTCAAAAACACTGATTGCGATGCTTTGGATACTGTAATACTTGAGTTTATGCTGTTATCATTAAGCCAGGCAGGTGATAAGATACAGTTTGCAAAGCTGAGCAAAAACATTCTCTAAAAACATTCTCACTCTTTACCGGCTCCATAAAGCAGAAGCCTGTGATTTGGCACCCTCGGGAGTACGTGGCGTGTATGTGCGATTACTAAGCCTCTGCAAAATTCTGACTGCAAAAGTCAGATATCACAGCTTGAAAATAAATTTGGCTTTAGCGGTACAGTCTCTGCTAAGATTTGGGTTGGTTTTTTTCTACAGCTAGTAACAAGAGAAACACAAGCAGATGTTCTCTAAGTACTACAAGAGTATTGTGCTTGGCATTGGTCTATGCCCAGTAGTGACTTTCATGTGTAATGTAGTCCTTTCTACAACCAGTTTTTAGCTGTCTGTGAGCGTGATGAGCTACTTGCCTTGACGGGTTCCTCTTCAAATGTGTGGAAGACCAAATGACTATGTCATATGAATCTCAAATGCTTTGTAAAGACAAGGACATGAAGCTGAAATGTCTCAATGACTGGTCGGTACTAATGGTTTGTCATTGATTTCAGTTGATATAGTGAGGCCTGTGATAAAATATCAAAAGCAGTCATATGTTCAAATGATTCATAAAATTTATTTTTGTATTTGTACATGTCTCTGTTGCCTTTGGGTTGTATATGCAGTACATAAAATATAAGTCTTATGCTACCACTGTTCTGTTTCTGATGCAAAAGGGCTCCTATCCGTCAAGGTAACACTTTGAACACCATTCAAAATTATAGAGTGTACAGTGTACAGGCTTCAGAAATGTCTTTTTTGGAAGTCAGCTTTGCTCAGGTACATGGTATATTCACAGAACAGCAAGCTGTTTCATCTTGGCCTTCAATGTTAAAAATATCTAATGCACAGAGACCATGACAAAAGGCAGGAGTCTGAAGTGCAAGTGCCGAGTCCTGCACTTGGGTCACAGCCACCCCAGGCAACGCTACAGGCTTGAGGAGGAGTGGCTGGAGAGCTGCCTGGCGGAAAAGGA